GTCGGCATTAAAAGGGGGGGGGGGGTAGCAATTGGCAACTGCCTGCAAGTGCTGCCAACACTGACGGTGCCTTTTCATAGAGGATGCACCTGCATGCACCCCCTATGCACTGCCAATGTCCACAATGCTGCTGCTGCTGCTTCTCCCCTGTCCCCACACCCCCCACAATTGGCCCCAATGCAGTTCCTCACCAGCTGGAAGCTGTTCCAACCACAGCCTTGGGGAAAGTGAACGGCGGAGAAGAGGCTGAGAGAAACAGCACCAGAGTGCTGATAGCTACCAGCCCCCTGGCCCTGGTGCAGCTCCTTGTTGCTCGGGCCCACTGTATGCATAGACATGGGCAAACTGCTACAGCTTCATAGGCCAGAACCAGCCCATTCACTATGTTGCTGATCCAGTTTAACCTCTTGTATGCCAAAAGCCATTATATTTTATTTAATTATCCCTATACTGAGTCCAGTAAGATGGCTGTTTTATAAACTACCACCCTAGGATAAAAACAAGGGTTAGAGACTACACTTAATTAGATGGTTGTATGGGACCATCATGCCTCCTGGAAAGCAGTAACAGGAAAGATTTTAAAGCATAGCTTGCCCGTTAGTCTTGGTCAGAGGAGTATGGACTAAAGGCTGTATTCCCATAAGAAGTGTTATTTCTTGCCCCTCAAAAATATTTGGACCTAGGACCCAGCTAAAGGACCCCTTCACAATTATGCACTGAAGGAGCTACAAGTAACTTTATATAACCTCTTTCAACAAGCAGAAAAAATATGCTTCAAGCTAACAAAACATTTAACTAGTTATCACAAATACAACTATTATCATAAGTATAAAGTAACCATAAACCCTTATAAAAGATTAAGTTCTCACTAAAGCAATAGTGCTTTCTTTACCATCCTTTCCAATACTATTCCTTACCAATAGTGAGAGGAATATGTTGTACCTTAGTTTTACTGAACTGTGCCTGCTTAGAAGCATTCTCAGGCAACAGAATTTATCTATTAGAATATCATAAACAAGGTGTGTGTGTGTGTGTGTGTGTGTGTGTTTGCTTAAACACTTCTAATTAAAAATATAATGACACGGGCAAATAGTGTGTCCTTCCACTAGTAACAAAGCAGGCTGATAAGTCAACTTGGGCAACTGTGGTTTTTATTAAATATTACTAATGTGCATACATCTAAATCAGAGGGATTTCCTATTTGTAAGTTGTGATTTATGCAAAGTATTTCTGCTTTAACAAAACTTTCAGCTTTTTCACCCAGCTCAGCCCAGAAAACAGAAAGGATTAAGGAACATATTCATATAAACAGTCAAAACAAAGCAAATTTATAGTTCACTTGACAAGAGCATATTTGCCAACTATTCATCCTGTTTGACTGTTCCAGTTCAGGGCTCTCCAACTAAGCTGCAAAGGGCTGCTTGCAACACCAGCAGGAGCCACAGCTCTGAAGGCTGCAGGACATGTATGCATCTTCACCTCCCCCTTTTCATAGACATTAGGGCTGGAAGGGACCTCGGAAGATCGAGTCCAGCCCCCTGCTCAAAGGGCAGGAAGTCAGCTAGGGTCATAGGATCCCAGCAAGATAAGCATCCAGTTTGCTCTTGAAGGTGTTTAATGTAGGCACTTGAACCACCTCCGGTGGCAGGCTGTTCCAGACCTTGGGGGCTTGGACAGTAAAGAAATTCTTCCTTATGTCCAGCCTGAAATGGTCTTGTAGTAGTTTATGACCATTCGACCTAGTTGTCATCCCTTGGGGTGCTCTGGTGAACAAACGTTCCCCCAGATACTGGTGGTCACCCTGATAAACTTATAGGTGGCCCTGTAACTCAAGTACTGCACAATGTACAGAACTGCTTTACCTTCAGCACCCCAACTGCACCAGCCTGTCGGTTCCCCTAGTACTGCCTTACCCTGCCTGCAGGAGCAAGAGCATGCAGCAGAAGCTGGAGAAGAGAGGGTGCCCCTGCCCCCCGCAAGACCCCACCTAATCTTGCAGCCAGAGCAATAGGGACAGCAGTGGCCAAGTGGGAGCCTGAGGGCTAGATGCTAACCCCACTGCATGCAGCCTACAGTCCTGCAGTGTCTGTTATGATATCTAACACTGTAAGCTTTTACAGATAGAGCTGAGAAAAAAGAAGACCTAACAACTATCAGCCCTGAATACAATAATGCACTAAGCCACAGCACCTTTACAAAACAGGTTTTGGGAACCTGTGACAGCTCTCATCCTGTGAGTCATGGAAGGGTTAACTCCTCCTAAATGGAGACATTTGAGAACACCTGATGTGCCAGCTTGATGCAGAGGTAGCCTCTGTAGTGAATTCAGCTGCTGGAAGAAGGAGCAGACATCTGTGATGTCTGAGAGAGCAGAAGCCAGTAAAAAGAAATGGAAGTCCCTGGGAGAAGGGAAGTTATTCTTTACTTTAGATGCTGCTTAATCAAGATCAGAATTGATTAAATTAATATGTCCTGATGAACTAGTTTATCTTGAACTGAGAGAGATTTTTCTTACAGTGTTTTTGAGTTTGGCAAAAAGCTGCCTTGTCTTGTATTTTCCACTTAAGTACCAGCAGTGAAGACGGATACTTTGGGATTGTGTGTGTTAACTGTCTATCTTGATCCTGTTACTTGTTGAATTATTTCAAACGTTGCTGACTTAGAGTAGCTGAGGTGCCTGTAAAATGCATTGCTTTGCTGCCGACAATGTGAGGCCTATATGAATGTGTAAAAGAAAACTCTTATCATCCATACTGAGTTCTTCTCTGATATCAGATCTGTGTGGAGGGGGGGGGGATGAACAAGGATGGGCCTAATCATGAGCAAGCATGTTATTTCTTTTCAATCTTTTTTTGCTAGATGGGGAGGAAAGTCACCTACTCAGCTAGTCCCTCACAATGTTCGTCTCCAATAGTTTGAGATTTCCTGGAGTTTTCATAGGGAAAACTCTAGCTCCCCAAATCTTTCTAGGTAAGGACTAACTTCCTGAACTTCTGCACTCTTCAGGTGTGGCTCTATACCTGCTCTTTTTTTGTGCCTTGTGTAGAAAGCAAATGTCTAGTCATTTCTTCTACCACTAGATAAACTGTCTGACTCTATAATAATGCAGTCAGTTAAAACCTGACTGTATCATCCCTGTTGCTGCTTCCTGTACCATGGCCAGAATCTCCTTCTGCCTTTTGTGGAAGGTAACCTGGGAATAAACTGCATCATAACTCCACCAAACAGCTTTTTTGTTTCCTTCCCCTACACCTGGGGTTGAGGGGAGAGATGAATAGAAGAGTGAGGGAAGCATTCACTAGTAAGGAATGGCCTAGCTGGGCACAACTTAAATCTTAAGAGGAAGGGAGAAAGGCCTAGTGAGTAACTAAAAGTGTGTAAGTGAATGGGCAAGAAAGAGTGCTGCAGCAAGAAACTTGGTGGGGAAAGGATTCTCTTGTACTGAAGCAATATTTACCTTCATCTATCCTAGGTGAAGTGCATCTGATAAAGATCTCACTTTCTCTCATTCTTCCATTGTATAGGTGATTTTTCTCTCTGTGTTCAGTAGATGAAGGTTTCCCAATGGGCCTGGATGACTTTTCTCATCTGTCTCTGGTGTGCATGCCAAGCCCTACTTGGCAAGGGCAGGGGGAAGCATATTAAAACTAAAACGAACTCAGTATGGATACAACCTCCTCCATAGATGCCATGTTCTAAAATAAAAGTTACTCTTATTATGTAGCAAATATTCTGGAATGATTCCTCCACTTCAAAAGTAGAGTGAACTCACTCTCACTCAAGAATAGTTTCTACATCTGGAAGCTATACTAAAACAGTGTAAAAGTATAATTCTTCTATATTCATGCTGGTTGCTTTCCCTGTGTATAGACAGCCTTATTGGTAGGTATGTTTGAGAGGATGAGATCCTTTAAATCACAAAATACTAAAAAACCTAAAAGCAGATGAAAACATAAGGTCCTATAAATGCCTGCAGGCTTCAAAATTATGACCTGCCTCATTAAAAAAAAAAAAAGACATGCATGCTAGGAAAAAATGATCAAAACCCAGCAAGGAGTCAGGGAGCCATGGGTGCTTAGAAGAAAAGGAAACCTTTGTGTGGTAGGTAATTTATTGTACATCTTGATAGTGAAAGGTATGGAACTAAGGCAGAATTTTAGGAGGAGCCAAGTCATAAATGAGAGGTGGAATCTGGGAAACAAACCCCAGGGAGGGCGAACTGGGAGACTGACTTTTACACAACCAGCACAAGAGAGGACACACTGAAATGGGGACTTACGTATTCCCTTATGTTTTGGATGTTGCATTAGAAAGCGTGAGAGATTTCCTCACACTCTCCAGCATGACGAATGAGTTCCTGTTAAAAAGCAAGGAAGAAAAATGACATACTTTTAGGAGGGAAAAAAAAAGAGGCAGTGACAATCACACTAAGGCACTTTGCCACACAATCCCAACTTGACAACAACGGTGTAAGACACGAGGGTAAAAGACATTGGAAGCAAGCACGTGAAGCTGTCCCTAATACAAGTGCACCCGGGGCTGCACCTGCCTGGCAGGGCTTGCAGCTTTTTCACAAGTCAGGGACAGTGTGTAGGTTGTCCTTCCAGTAGGGATTTCTCAAGTCCTAATGTTAGAGTGAGAATGTGTTTTATCTCACCGGGAAGTGAAGGGGAGTATGTGTTTGTGTGTGATATCTCACTGGGAAGGGGAGTGTGTGTGTTATTTCACTGGGAAGTTATTTCACTGTGGAAGGGAAGGGGAGCGTGCGTATGTACATGTGTATGTGTTATCGCACTGGAAAGTGGAGGGGGGGGGGTGCAGCACCCTGCCAGGAGTTGAACAGCGAAAGGCAGGAGTGAATGCTAGAGGTGTGCAGGTGTGTGTGAGGAGGCGGGGGCCGGGCCGGGGCAGTCGGGGGCCACC